TAGAATCTGAATTGTATGTCGCTTTGGATGAAAGTGTCTGCTAAATGACTGTAATGTAATGTAATAGCCTTGCAAGTTTGTCTACAAGAGGTTTCTCTGATGCATTTACAAAACACCTCTCAAAAAGACATATAAACATGAAAATCATGTTTGACCCAATTGTTGACACCAAGCAGCGATGGCATTTGTCATTTCAGCTGGAGTACACGTATGGTAAACTGTTAAAGCATTTCCCTTAGCACTCATCATGCTGCATGCTGCATGCTGCTCCAACGTAGAGCAAAGATGGATGAATGTCAATGATTGACAAATACCGGGTTTAATGAAAGCTAACGGGGAATGATACCTGATTCGGTTGCACTCTCACTGTAGAAACAAAATAGGATAGAAGTAAGTTTCCCCTGTAGATGTGTTGCTGGAGGTGTCAGAACTCCGATAAACACCCCAAGCCTGGTAAACAATATGAAATCATTAATTAACAGCGAGGCTTTGTTAAGTTCATTTCAGGTGTCTTAACAGTTCCCAGACAGTATCACAAATGAGATTCTGTTTCACTTCAGCTTTTATATTATTACAACACTTGTTTTTAATTGTTCAACAGCCATCTTAACAACACGCAGGTGTTAAAATCAATTACTGGAATCATTACTGGAATAATGTTTAAAAAAGCCAATTTTTCCATATAACGTTATGTGCACTGTCACCAAATGGCTGCTGAAGAAAAACTTGTATAATACAAAAATATGTGTCAAAGAAAACGTATCTGAGGCATCAAGCTTATCGGTTCACTTCTATTTGATCGTAAAGATGTTGGATATTTTATACCAGTATCTGTAGTTTTAGTATAAAAAAAGCACCTTGGAATCATTGCAGTGCAACAGACAGAAATACATTTTTCAAACCGCTCGCTGCGTCTCTGAAGGCAAGACGATGCAACTCGGGTCATTTCTCAAACTGCCAGCCGGAGTCGGAGCGCTCCAGGCGGTGTCATGTTAAACAAAACAGTGCATTGATGCAATGCACAAAGAGTTGGTTATGTCAATGCGATATTTATCACCTCTGATCAAGAAGAAATTAGTGTGAAAATAAGGTCGTAGATCATCGTGGGTTAGATTAAGTGTCAGAGGGGAAGAAAATCAATGGCTCTGTGCTCGGCGTTCAGTGTGGCCGGTAGAGAGTGCATCTGAAGGTGCTGTGGCCTCAGGACAGCGACGCTGCAGTGAAGCTCATCGCCTCTGACATCCTTTAATATGAGCTGACCAACCAGCGGAGGGTTGATGAACAAGGGTGTTTCGATTCAGTCAGTTTGAGCTACATTTGTCTTTCTGTTGCTCGCCTGACTCTTTTTCTCGGTGTTAGGTGTTTTTCTAAAGCAGCTTGTGTTTTCCTTTTTTCCTTGGCCGCACGGTTTGTATGTGTCCTCTTCTTTCAGTTTTTTTTCAGGATTTGTTTGTGCAAATAAACGCCACCTCAGTAGCGCTGGAAACCTGAGCCGCTGTTTTTCTTTTGGTGCGCCAGCTGTGAGTACAACAGCTGATCTTACATGAACACCGCTAAAGTTATCATTGCAGTACACTTTGCATTGATACACTGCAGGTAAAAATCACAGCAGAGGCAGATTGTGGCTACTCGGAGGATTGAAAACCTGCTACCTACCTACTACTGAAAACACAAATCGCTCCCACAGGGAACACATTGAAGGAACTTCTGAGATGTTTATGGAAATGGGCACTTTATGTTCACATTTATTGCTCTTACTGTAAAGTAAAATTCTCCTAATCTACCTTAAAAGTACCGTCTTACTCAAATGGACTCCCTATTAATCCATGCACACGCTGGCCACTGTAGAAGACGCTCCTCACGGTCAGTCTGTCAGAGGAGTCCAGTGTTCAGCATCGGTCGGCAGATAACAAATGACAATCCGATCCGGCCAATGGGATGCTCCTAATTACCTAATGAACAGGGACATGAGGTGATTTGTTGCCATGGTGCGCTTGTTAGGGTAAGTGGTGGGAATCGACAGGACGGTCAGATGTTGTCTCTTACTGTATCTGTTCCTACAGTGTGTCTTTAGTGTCGTTTGGTTCTGCTGTACTTTGAAAAACCCAGATGTCGGGAGGGGAACAGTGGGTTAGTAGAGCTTTGAATGTGAATGAGGTCATTCCTTACAGGAAGTGTGTAGGATTTATTGGCAGAAATTTATTATAATATTCATAACTATGTTTTCATTCGTGTACGATCACCTCAAACTAAGAATCGTTGTCCACCATGTTGCACCGCAATGTTTCTACAGACTAAACACTGGCCCTTGCGAGGGCCTTTTCTAATCGTTACGTTACCTGGTGACCACCAAGATGTTCTCCGAGACGCTTTGAAAGGGAGAGGTAAACGAAGGGGTATTCAGTTGGTTGCAATCTGCAACCTCACCACTAGATGCCACTAAATCCTGCACACTACTCCTTCAAAGTAAAATCATAACAAATGTCTAGCAGGTGAATGACGTAGCACCTCGGAGACTGCAGTGTTTTTCCATGAAGAAATATTTAAAATTCATGCAGAAGAACCAGGGATGTTATCATTCTCATTCCACACCTTGGAAAAGCCGGACGCCTACATTACCCACAATGCAACTCGACAACCTACAGTTCCATTGGAGATTCCTACAGCTTGCCAAATGTGTATCTCCACCACAAACTGCAGTTATGTGTTGCTTTCTTCTAGTTTCTCATTTCCTCTCTTCACATTCATAAAGTGAATGTAGCTGCATTTGGGATAATTGGATTTTTTACTTCTTTGAAACTGTCAACTAGCACAGATGCGCCTTCAATTCAGTTTATGCCGCCTAGAAGAGAAGCCATGCCTTTTCAAATTAATTTACATTGACTTTTTTTAGCTGTAAAACTCGGCTCCAACACAGCAATAGCAACGAGTCTATGCATCCAGAACATTCCTTGTATCGTGTCTGGCTTCATTCTCCAACCACTCGTTTTGAATATGCTTTTCAAAGTGGCCACCTTCATTTGTTTGTTTGCAAAATTGCCCAGTCCTGTGTTCATGTGTTCTCTTGGGTTTGACTAGTGAGCTTACAGACTGATTAGGATGAGGATGATGATGCTGGGGAAGATGTAGGGGTGTGTTGTTGTGGAAAACCTCTCAGCGTGGCCCTGTCGCCCTCCTGCCTCTTCCCACCTCCCTCTGCTCCCATCCCTCTTCTATTGACCATGTTGCACATTATAAATCAACTGTGAGTTGGGCTACCTTGCAAGTACCCTAATGAAAGCTCATTTATAAAGTGGCTAAATGGTCCTGACAAAAGTCCTAATGAGGAAATCAATAATTCAGTGATTGTTACTCTTCTTATACTAATACGTTCCTCTTGTAGCGCTTTGATTCCATCTACGAGAAGGCAATTTTTTACTGTGTTCAGTTCTGCGTGTCAGCACTGTTGTAGTTTTTTTTTTTTCCCGTCCTTGAAGCTTTTTGATGAATTGTGTGTTGTTGTCTGTTGTTTCTTGGAAAGATTAAAAGTCTTTTGCGATCCGCGGGACGGCATGGAGCTGATTCAACGCTGTGATGCTGCTTCTAGTGACGCACATTGTGATTTTCGTGACAACCGCTTTTGCTCTTTCTCCCTCCTCAATTTTCTGTTTTTAATCTCTTCCCTCCTCTACTTACTCCTCTACTTAGGGGGCCTCTGTTGGTGCCCTGTTAGCTAAGTTCCAATCCTAGCTTAGCTTAGCCCGATGCTAATGCAACCTCGCCAGGTTTGACAGCAGGCCTGTTAGTGATAGCACTGGCATGGCCTCACCTGCAGATCATGCAGAGTCATAGAAATAGAATAAGATTAGAACGGACAGTCTCCGGGGGACAAAGGAAAATGGCGATTGTTACTGTCATCAGTAGGGCCCTAAAGTGTGGTCACAGCTCGCCAGGAAGAGGAATACGAGGCAGAAATGAGTGAAAATGGTGGGTCGAAAATAAGGAAGGTGCCTAATTAGCCATGTGCCTCAGTTTGTTGCACGGAGAGTATGTATTTTTTTAACAATGACTGTTAAACCATGGGATATTTTTCGGGATAAGGGTTCATTGGACGAATAAAAACAAGTTCAAAATGCAATCCATAACTTCCCCCAATGGCCTGAACTTGTGCAGGTGACCAATTATGAATCTTTTTAACCTTGTTCCCTTTCATTATTAAAGCTAAATTGATGCATGTGCTTATTCGTGATTATTAGAGTAATAATAATACGTTTTTTTCTATTTTTGTGGCACTGTAAGACATCTTTCACCATTAGCATGAATTCAAGGATACACAGACCGCCATTACCCAACTAATAACAAATAAAAAGAATATAATACAACGGGTGCAACAAATAATTAATACGCCGATACAAAAAAAAAGACATTTTATTAGTGTAGTCATGAGAATATAATGTACCATAGCAGCATGCGGACAGATGGTGACTCACCCCTGCGAGGTCATTGATCATCAGCCTTAGCGGTGGGAGTGTGTGTGCTGCAGGAAGCCCGGAGAGCAGCACCCCAGTCCTCCGTTAATTGCAGGGGCAGTTAGATTACCCTCTTACACCCCTCACTGGGCCCTAATGCTGGGCATGGGTACCCACTAGCGACCCCATGTGCTCCCTCAGATGCCTCCTTTAACTGACTTTAGATTCATCATTATGCTTCAATATGTGATTAATGAGCCACATTATGCATTCTTCGGAGATTAATGACTGTGTGATTTTGGTCAGCGGTAAACATTGGAGGTGTATTTCCTGTGTAGTTTCAGAGGATCCTCTCTTCAACGATGAATCAAACACACCTTTACAGAGTGGACTGTTTTTCACGAGCTAAGCTTATAAGGGATTGGAGACAGAAGAGAAGAAGAGATGCTACGACTGTACACGCTTCAGATTTTGATGTGGGGAAAACACTCCTCTATGTTTCCTCTCTATTCTTGATCCCTTTGCAGTTCCTGTTGTCTTGTTTTCTTTCAGAACAAAGAATAAGCTGTGGTACTTTGAGTTCGGCACTTCGGAAACCTTTTCGGCCACGTGTAAGAAGCTCCACGACTTTCTGGAGGTTGAGGTAAATCAAACCACATATGTTCTGGTATTCTTTTAGCCCTATAGAAAAGGAAAACGGAAAAAAAACTAAAGTCACGGCTTTTATGTGCTCTGCTATGCGAATCCCTAGCAATCGCACATTCTGTTATTATCATTATAATATTCTGATAAAAACCATATGCACATAGATGCAGATAAGTTCTCAGCCAAGAATAATGGTGTTTGTTAAAACATGTTCTGGTCAGCCCTTGTTCCTTAAATGGCACACATTTGTACTAGTTTCAAATTCACCGAGACAGAGTGTTGATGTGTGAAGGCTATCTGTGCACCTCCCCACCCGCCTCTCACTGAACATCAGTTCAACATGCAGGTAATTAGCCCTACACGACCCTGCTGTGTGTGATATTGAGTGATAATGAAGACGGTGTCTCTACAATTCATCTTCCCCCTTCTCACAGCTATCCACAGAGTGCCGAGGTCATCATTAATTAGTGCTTGATAAGTACCCACAGTACTGGAGGAGGTAGGAAGATCCATACTGGTATAAAATCTACTATTTAGAGTATTACTGGCCTTTGTCAGCTTAATCAGATCAAATTGACAAGAGGAATTGTGGTATTACATAAAGACTCAGGTTAAGCCACCAAATAAAGGTGCAGGCTCAGGTTGAGATGGAAAGAGAGGACTCAGTCTAATCCTGAGTCTGCATATCACCTAAGAGACAGATTCAGGTTTAGGCTCAGCCAGAGAGGAATAATCAGACTGAGAGAGAGTAGGGCTTGAACAGAGATGCAGGGTCAGAATCAGACGGAGAAACAAGTAAATGTTCAGAAAGACAGATATAAGTTTAGGCTTGGACAGAAATACAGATTTAGGTTCAGGCTCAGTCAGAAATACATATTTAGGCTCAGGCTTAAAGAGAAAAACAGATTTAGGTTCAGGTTCAAACTGCATTAAACAAACTTATTTTCTGACATTTTACTCTGCAGAAGGTATTTTTAATAGGAACTCGGGATAGTGGCTGTCGAATCAGGTCCGGACCTTGTTCGTAGTTGCCCTTTCACACAAGATGCACAGAACAGGCTTTTGTCTATGTCAGGCGCTTTCTCACCTGGTGAAAAGTCTCTGTTTGGTTTGGGCGTGGCTCCTGGGCTGAGAGTGCTGGATGTAGGACATGACAAAAAAATTCTGCAGCTAGAGTTCGTAATTTGGTCATAAACAACCAAGTCTCTTTTCTACTTAAAGACTAGGTAGCATTTGAATAAGTGCTGGCATCCGACTTCAACCTTCGTGCCTAATAAGTCACTTTGGATTTTTGTGTTTTACCTCTCCTACTTTCTCCTTTCTAAAAGTGTGATGGTGTTACGTTGGACCTCAGCAGCATCTCCTTGGAAGGCATTGCCATTCTCAACATTCCCAGCATGCACGGCGGCTCCAACCTTTGGGGTGAGAGCAAGAAGAGGAGGGGTAACCGCAAGGGGGGCAAAAAGGGCCAAGACAAGAGGACACCAGTGCTCGACCCCAAGGAGCTCACGTTTGCAGTTCAAGGTAGCTTTGACAGCATAAGAGTGAATACATTTATGACTGTTGTCCATTGGTATTAATCCAGCTGTCACTGCAGAAAAAAAGCCAATTTGAGCATATAGCCAACCCAAAAACCCCAAAAGAGATATAACATAATGGAAAATACCATTACGAATTATGTTTTTAGCCACGCTAGCTGCATGGGTCTTGGGATGGCAATGTTGGCTTTTTACTTATTTATATTCAATACCTACCGTACGGAGTGCCATGAAATCTTTTGAACATTCATGGTGCCCAGAGGATAAACCCTGATGACTTCTGAGCTAAAGCTAAACTCACCTACATGGTAAACCAAGTTAACGTTGTCATTATGACGTTGCCATGCTGACGTTAGCATTTAGCTCAAAGGTCAGGCCTCACGAAGCCGCCAGTACGCCTGTAAACTCTTCACCTTCTTTTAAACACAAAACCTTTTTAAAGATGTGTGTTTAAAAGGCAGAAAGTTCAACACACAGGGAGGTAATTGGCAAATCCGCACTTTCAAAGCCCTGCATCTGCTGTAGATCATTGTTTGTTTGTGTTATTGGATAATGCCGAACGTCAAATAGTGTAGCGAGGCTCTTTCGCCTGAAGCCCACATCAGGCAGTCTGTGTCCTTGCTCCTATCAGACAGATCAAAGCCTAAACTTTCGACCAAACTTTTCCAGAGTGCATGAATATTTCACCGATGACAAGGTGAATCATAGCTAGCAGGTTTTGTTTGCAAAGAAGAGGTACAATCATGTCACTGTTTGGAACTGTCACTTGTGTATTAATGGTTTGTGTAGGCTCCAGTGGACAGGCTCAGTTAATAGGAGCGGACTGAGTGGGGGGTGTTAGGCATTCCCCTGAATCCATTTACGTCAAAAGGAAGCCCGTCAATGGGAATATATGAATGAACGAAGCAGAAGGAGTCAGCTGCTCTGTGATAACTGTTGAAATGGTGTGAGCCACTTGAAGGGCATATTATAAAAAGGAAGAAATATCCAGAATCGTTGTAGAAGAAGTATTCCAATCCAGTATGTAAAGGTACTAATATCACCATGCAAAAAACAACTATTAGCAGTACACAAGTATTGAAAGTATGGTAATACTAGTCAAAAGGAGTAGAGATTCATTTTGAGCTTGCTATGGAATTCATCACAGGCTTTCATGGTCCCCAGAGGACTTATCCTGGTAACGTTGGTGCCCCTGGCATTTCCTCTAGCCTCGGGGGTTGATGCCCAAACGTAACCATTTATTTCCCATCATGTCTAACTCCTGTCCGCTCAGTTGATGAGTTTTAGGTTTCATGGTGAGAAGGTGTTTTTTTACTCGGGGATGAAGTGGATGTCCAGTGTGCGGTCTGAAACATGGCGAGTCAGTGGGGATTTCCAGACATGGCTGCTCGTGATCCTTTTGAGACTTCACTGGTCACAACATGTCTAGTGATCTAGTTTTTCCTGATGAGATTCCCTTTTTTTGTTTCCTTTGGATTTCAGAAGCTGTTGCACCTTCAAAGTAAACGCTTGTTAGAATCTGTCAATATATGGATAATTAGTCCCTAATATATATTAGCAGCATTTAATGTACCTGTACCTGATGAAAGAAAAGGTGTTCTGTGTTGTAAAGTACTGTTAATTACAGCAGGGCCGGTGAGGCAGTTTAAGAAAGTGGAAAAAATATATATTATCAACCAAAACAAAACAGACTATCTTTTTACAAGTGCTGCTGCATGCTGGGATGCTTGTAACTTCCCACATGGGAGTGTTAGGTGAAGGTGCAGTGTGGCCCAGACTGTGAGGGTGATAGTTGATCAATTCAAAGCTCAACTTTGCTACAATGAACACTCCATTAATCCCTGAATAAAAATCAATCCGCGGGAATTAAAAAACGAAAAGGGGGCTACTGTCTGTACCTGGAAAGGCACTTAGTGTGAGCGGGGAGTGTGTATTCGTGTGCCACTACGTCTCTGTATGTTTGGGCCTGCTTATTGATGTGTGTGTGTGTGTGTGTGTGTGTGTGTGAATGGATGCCCTTGTGGAAGGTGCCCTCAAGGTGAGCCGCCTTACTTGTCAGATCAAGAGAACGACGTATTTAGAGGTAAACACAGGAGTGCATTAGCCCAGAGGGGGCACCGCCGAGCACGATGCACGGATCAAACTGTTGGCTGGGATTATTTTGTGTCTGTTTGTGTGTGTGTGTGCGTGTGTGTGTGTGTGTGTGTGTGTGTGTGTATGGGTGGGTGGGTGGAGGGTGGCTGCAGGATAAAAAAAAACCTGACCTTTCGGGAGCTGTTAAATCGTCCCGCTGGTGACGCCAGGAGACAAGCCCCTCAGGTGGAAGGGAATGGCTGCGGAGTGAATTATTTAGAATGGGACTGAGGTTTTTGCAGGGGAAGGGGTAGAAGGGAGGGGGTCCATGCGTGGGTGGAGGGGCTGATGCTTGGGACTGATGCCCCACGACAAGCCCCATGAAGCTTTCACTGGAGGATTGGCCTCCGCACGCCCTCCTCCTCCTCGTCCTCGCCGCCATTCCTCTTTAGTTTTACTTTCAGCTGATCGGCTGCTGGTCCTGCTCTGCTCCCTCCCTGCTGCTCCTGTGTCACTGTGCAGCCACCGGCCTCGACAGTTAGTTGTATGACAGTGACAAGGACGCCGTTTCTTATCCCACACTCTTGACGGGAAGACGTGACTGCCGAGATTAAAGCCACGGCGCTGCTTTTGTGAATCTCCCACATGGGCTCTCACTCACATGACTCTCTCTCTTACTCTGCGTTGTCACCTTCACTGCCTGTTTGTTTATCGCAGTCAAATATCGCCTTCAACACTTCACATAATGTTGATTGTAGGTTGGGTAAGGGGGGGGTGTTTGAGTTTATATTTGGCCTCAGGCTGCTTGTGTGTTAATATTTCATCATCCTTGTGTAAACAGTGAGGTGACTCCATTTCTCTCCCAGTCTGTCTCTAGGAAGTAAACATGATGGCTTTCTTCTAAATTTGGCAGAGTCCCCTTTTGATTATTGTTCCAGGTTTCATTCGCAGCTCTAATAAAATAAATAATGGTTGGTGATTCAAAATGAAGAGTCACCAGTAAATCATATGAAATCTGGCTTTCACTTATTGAAATGTGTCTGTAATTTGTTGAGCTAAAATAAGATTTCTTTCCCCATTTATATTTGGTGTCTCAGGTTTTGGTTAAAACAAGACAAACAGGAATAGTTTGACATATTTACAAACGGAGGAGTCAAAATAACAATTTGTTGTTTTTCAGGGGGTTATGTGGACTACTATTTCTTTCTTTTATGTTTATTTTTTGTCTACTTTAGACATGTTTAGTATTGAGCTTTAAAGGTGTTGGTAGGCATATTTTCCCCCTTTGCTTCCAGACTTTATGCTAAGCTAACAGTTCTCACAGTTCTCATACTCTATTTGAGTCCAGGTAGCTCTTACACAAATATTTTTAGACCCAAATATAATAGTTGTATTGTCAGGATTGGTTTAAAAATTCTCAGGTCATCTCGAAATTAATGGTTTTACCCAAAACATGCAGGTCATACATGTGTTGTTGTGTTTTTATTAAACATCTGGTTGAACACACCTGGTTGACCTTGTTTTATTTAGCAGAGAGGCTCTATGGTCTTTCTTGGGAATACTGGATCTTTGTAGCCCGGGGCAATAAGGAATCCTTATCGCCATGGTCCATCACGCGTGTCAGCATGGGCCCATGTGAGTCGTTTGCGTTAACGTGAGAAGTCACAATGGGGGGCTTTAAAGCCCAGTGTCAGCAGGTCAACCTGCTGGGCATGTACACACACTCCTCCACTCCGACCCTGGAAAGCACTGCACTCACAGGATAGGGACGGACGCGTGTCCATCAGCATGGTGACAGCTGAACACCACAGCTCGGCGGCGGCGACAACACCTCACAAGAACAGCAACATTACCCCCGACACTCCTTCAGGAAACCCACGCGGCTCAAGATAAACACGACGGCGATGGAGCGGCGTCGGTGACAGCGAGCTAACTTCGCTCGCACGCACCGAGTGTCTAAAAGTGGGTCTTGGATTTCAATTAGTGTCTGTGTGCTCCCAGCAGCGAGGCAGCAGCTTCTTAATTTGTGGAGGGACGAGTCGATGGAGAGTCGGAGGCAGAGCGGGCCCCTGGAACAGATGGGCCCGGTGTGACACTGGGCTTCCAGCTGGGGCAAAATCAATGCTCATAACTGCAAAACAGAAGAGGAATTAATAATTATAATATCACAAGATTGCTCTGCATTGCCGGTGCAATCTAATTAATAGCTGTTTCGTTTGTAGCTTGTTGTTCTTGTTGCCTTTTCTCTTCTTTCTTTTCCCCCCTGTGAATGTTAAATGTTTCTGAAGTAAGGAACATCACGTCGTCTTTTTATTTGAACCTCACTTTCTTCATGCATTCTCTTCATCCCTCACTCCTCCTCTCCCTCACTGTGGAACTCTGTTTTCAGATATCAACAACATTTATGTAGCATTATGTACCTGTATGAAACCCTGCAAAGCTACCGACATGATTTTACTTTTAAGGCACTCTATTCTTGCTTACAGTAACAAGCGTACTAGAATTTTCTCATTTTTCTAGGTTGTAGATATTAACCCATTTGAGCCTGCAATGGAAATTTGTAATTCTCTTTTGTGGAAGTGATCTCTGGGTTTTCCTCAGCACAAATCTGGAGAAAATTCAAAAATTGGCCAAACCATTTGGCTGAAAATTTAGTTTTTATCATTCTATATCTATTCTTTGGGCACATGGGGCTACTTTCTGCTACTGCAATTATATTTTTGGAAGAAATAGTACTCCTATGCCCCCTAAAGGAGCACAATTTGGTATATTTCAACCTAATATCAAGGATTATATGTGAAATTAAAACCTGACTTTGACTAGGGACAGAAGTGTATTTTTCATTTGATGTAAAAATATCAAAGTAGTTCTGTTAGATACTTGCCCAAACTTTGTCCTCACCAGATTTCAAGACTTTCAATCAATCAGAACAAATGTTGTGGCGTTTTTCCTTTTCATATTTTGGCCACAACAGCAGCCGTTACGTAACCACAGCTAGTTCTCGAGTTTTGCCTCCATGACCGCTGCAGGTCTGGTTCATCTGACTTCACGTTTATTTACAGATCTGTTCCTTTGTGTCTTAGAGCTGTCTGACCAGCTGCTGGAGGTGGTGGGGCTGGAAGGAGCCATGGAGATGGGTCAGATCTACACCGGCCTGAAGAGCGCTGGGAGGCGCCTGGCACAGTGCTCCTCCGTCACCATCAGGTCAGCGTTCAGCTGGACCGCGACTCACTTATTCAGTCATGATTGGTTGTCTTTCTTGTTGGCATCTTTGCTAGAATTTGTTAGCATTAGGTAACAATCAACAATCCTTTGGCCCGGAGTCTGTTTAATAATAATAATAATAAAGGCTATTTAAAGTTATTTTTGAACAAAGTGAAGAAACAAGAGAATTAATAAAAACAAATGCAATTATCTCGATTGATTGTCTTACATATTTAGGCATTGAAATATTAGACGGCATTGGACTACCTGTTAGCTGAACATTAAGTTACCTGGTGCAACACTTTAAGAATTTAGGTTTTTATTATTTTTCACAAAGTTTAATTGTTTTCTTCACTGGCAGAACAAGTAAATCCCTCCCCATGCAGATTGATGGGGAGCCTTGGATGCAGACTCCCTGCACGGTAAGTCATTAAAGGTTTCTAGCATCTTTGACGACACCCATCTTCCATGTTGTGCGTCGTCACAAGTCAAGTGTGATCGTTACACTTGTAGCCACGTGTAGTGTCGATGTGGGGGTGTACTGAGTATACTTCACTAGCAGCAAAAATACTAGTTTTTCAGCTGGTATTTATTCCATCAGAATTATTGCAATAGCAGCAAAATTGTGCCGTTTCAAATGTAATTTGTTTCATAGGTGAAGTTTAGTGACCTCAGGTGAAGTTAATTATTTTATTACTATTTTTTTTTTAACCTCAGCAGAAGACTAATCAGCCAGAATAACTGACATCACCTGTGTGGCCTCCAGCAAAGAACCTTTACAGACATGACAATCACTTCAGAGTTTTTAATATACGTCTTATGATTTAAAGGCTTGATGTTAACTTACATGACTTTAGTTCTATGGGGCAATGCACTATAATTGACTATATTGTTTTGATGTTAATGCTGGATTTTGCTCACATTCAGGAGCAGTTTTATAGTAAGACGGATGCGATAAACTTGGCATCTGGTGCCGTATCTGTTCTTTCCATTTGTCCCATAGATCATTGCTTCGTGCAGTAATTTATCACAAATATGTTATGATGCAAGTCTTCCTTCTCCTAATTTGCTTACCGTCTGCGTCTCAAACATGTGCTCCGACGAGTGTTTGCCCTCCGTCCAAGTTGTTCATTTTTCGAAAATGAAATTCCTCAGTTTTAGTTGATTAGGGTTGTGTTTAGTTTTAATTACAGCACCGCTGCAGATGAAGTGCTGCTGAGATTTACATATGGATTGCTCAGGCAAAGCTAAAGAAAAACAGTGCATGACAAAACGAGTAGCCTGTAAGTGCTCTTGTGTCTGCTGGCACAACTCCACGCAGCAAAGTTAGGATCTGACGATCCATAATTGTGCTGCAATGATTTCCACGGCGAGTTATTCATTGTCGGAGCTGAATTTGAATCAGTCGACCTCTTAAATCCATATAAAAACACCACAGTTCAAATGGGATGTTAACCCACTAATTATTAACAACAACAACTATGCAAATGTGTCTCGGTTCCTTGGCGTGCATAACATTTTCAACACCGTTCAACCGTTTGCATTTCGAAGTGACACATGACATGTATCACTGTCTCTTTGATAACTGGGTCTTAAGAACCTGCTGCAAACTGAAATTCTGGTTTAAAAAAAATACTTCAAATATTAAATATAAAACCCACTTAGTTTCCTTAGTTTGGCTGATTTTTGATGGCAAGAGGGAGAGGAATAAATAGATAATTTATTTAATTGTTTTTAATTTCGAAGAGCCGCATTGCTCTGTAACTGGGGCTCTCGTTATATAAATGCTTGATGTTGCATATTTAAAACGGAGCTCGGTTATCCTCCAAATGTATTTCAGGTATTCTTTTAGATCCTCATGTGACCAGTGTTTTCCTTAAAAATGTTATAATTTTTTTGTATTTTGTAATGCACATCAGAGACCTCAAACTCAATCACGTTTAATGATGGCAGAAAGCCGACAAAAGCTGGTAATTACTACTGAGTCAGAGTGCAAGTACAATAAATGGCAGCTTTCCTTTGAAGTGAACGTGGTCCCGTTTAATGCAGATGGTAGCATTTCCTCTCCTCATTACTGCGTTTAGACTCTTAGTGCAACAGTATAATGAACTATGTGCTTGATATGAAAACCCTTGATGGTTGATATTTGTTGTTCCATTGATCTACAATTTCAACCTTCAGCAGAAATGGCATCATTGTTGGGAAACAGGATCTTGTCAGATTTTATACCCATAAAGAACTACTTTATCATAATCCAGCATAATATTTCCATTAATTCAGAGACATGAACCCCAGGGATTCTCAAAGTTTTGTCACATTAAGGACCAAACGGGCCCCATTTGACAAGAACCCTTATGGACCCATTGTTGTGGATGCATGCCTGAAATACGTTCTGTGGGTAGATACCAATGGGTAAAATGAAACGCTTTGTTTGAATTTGGGCGCTTCCACATTGCGTCCTTTCCTTACTGAAGTTTTGTAGCAGAATTGCTGTTACTTTGCTTTGCCACCTTATCATCCTTTACTTCCCCAAAAAACAGTTTTTAAGCTTTTTTAAAAGTAGTTAATTTTTCAGGTGAGAAAGTAACCATTTAGATGCCCAAAGTAATTGAAGGGGCGCGCTAGCTACCTAGCTAGCTACTACCACTAGCTAGCAGACAGACCGACAGAGGTTGGTTTAATGCACTCTTTAGACTCTTTTTGTACCGTAATGCAGCAACTTAATCTCAGCTTCTTCGCTTCTCTCCGACACCAGATTGAGATCGTCCACAAGAACCAGGCCCCCATGCTGATTGGACTGCCGCAATGCCGAAGCTTCTTCTCCTCCGTCATCAGGCGAACGCGCACTGAGGGCAAAGATTGACGGGTTCAAGACCTTTTGAATCCTCACAAGCACCTGTGGGGCAGCGGCCCACAAGTTGATCGTCACTCGGCCCGTTAGTGAAGGGGGGTCTTTGATGCCTGTTGACAGCCCAGAGCAAAGTAGCAAACTGTAGGTTCAGTGTGTATCGCCGGCAGCGTGGAGACGTCACTGAGAAGCCCTTATTTAAAGCGGAACGAGGTGTGTTTAGGACCGGCGCTTCGACCTACAGTGTGTAGAGTAGTTTAGCTCCAAAAATACTGAAGCTATTTCGGGAGGTCCAATTTTCCAATAGTCTGTTTTTATTTTTGCTGTTGTGATCTGTGCCACGTGGAGAAAAAAAAAAACACAGATGAATGTGTTTTTGTGATATGATGTATTTATTTATTTATTCATATTTTGCTGCTATTGATGGTTTTTTAACAGTTTTTGCATTTGCATACCCTATGATGCATGATGGACAGTGAAAGAGGTTGCCGCTGTTGAAGCTGACATATCTGGAGCTTTCAGCTGATCTTTCCCAAGTGTTTGGTACGTTTGCTCAGCATTTCTTCAGCGCTTCACTCGTGAATGGCTTCAAGTAGTGAAAAGACAGAGAATCACTTTTGCTTTCTTTTTAATGGTTCCTGCAAGTCATCCGTGTCATGTTTTGATCTGCTGTGTCGCTGCTCCGTCAGTGGAAAGATTAGGAATGATTATTGATCTTCATGAAAAATGCATGACACTCTTTGTTTTACGTCGCACGAGAGATTTTCCAGACAGTTTTACCAACTGTGTGCACACTTTCTGTCGCATGAGTGACCAAGATCTGTTTTGACACTTGTGGAAATTTATCGTTTTTCTGAATCTACGTCATCAGTGCTGCTCGGTTTAACCATATCATTCTTTATAAGATGGCTGCATTTTTATGAGATCCTGTATTTTTTCTGAACAGGTACTCGGGTACTTTTAAAGTGAAAAACAGTGAAACAGCAGCAGAAAAAAACGTCTCGTGTTCATTCAGATTGTATGTTGATACAGTGACTGTATCGTTGGATATTCACAAGACGCAGTTTGAGTGGTCATTGATTTGCTCTGATGTCTACGGTTGAGTGTTTACAGTCCGCTGCGCATAAAGCGTGCATTGACCATTTACGGTCAAAAAACAAAATGACTATCGACATATATATATGTACGAGCTTGATTTAAAGAAGACATACTGAAAATCAGTCCCATCCAATAATTACAGTTTTCAGAAGCATTTTACAGCCACTGACGCGTGCACATGGCGTCTATAAATGAATTAATAATGCCACTTTGGCAGATTTCCTTTCATTTAAAGTGTTTATTTCATAAAAGTCTCCTCTATACATTCAAATGGCATTATTCTGGATGGTAATGGTAGTGATTCAGTACATTTCTGCATTTAAATAGTATTTATTTATATTCAGTCCCACCAAAGACACATTTTGGGGGATTTCTTAGTGACCTACCAGCGGGACACACACTTGGTAAATGTGTTGTGTTTAACTAAATTGCACTCCTTAGTCTCGAATGTTTGCTTAAAGTGCCATACCCCAGAGGAGACGGATCTGACGAGTCTCCCATCTCTTTGCTTTTTAAGGTGCTGCGTTTGTACAGTGAGGTTGTATTTTTGTACACAGTTTTTATTTATTTTTTCCGCTTACTGCTTTCACTCTAGAACTCACACCATGTTGTTCTGCCTAAAAACAAATTCTGCCTGCCAATGTTGACTGGGAAAAGTGATGATGAAAATATTAATTAAAAAAAATGCTTTTGTTGTTTGACAGAGTGTTGTGGTGTGTTTTGTACGTTGACCTTTGTCCGCCCTGAGCTTACGTAGATGGCTTTGTACCGTTAACGTTTCACGTTGTTAAAGCTGGGGTATGTAACTTTGGAGAATATCCAGAGCCCCGCCCTTCAGGCCTCCCTCCACAACTACTCCACATAAACGTGCATGTGAGAGCGGGGGGGGCTGCAACAGCCAATACCGATGTATTGAGTCTGAGTAAGGAGAATTTCTGAAATGCTTCTGAAATAAATTGCCTACCCTAGCTTTAAGGGTTAGCTTGCTACTTTGCCCAGTTTACCAACATGAACACTGATTCTCACTAGGTGTTACTTTGTGTGCATGATATTCCAACACGTTATTTGCAGCGCTAACAAACTCAGTCCTGTGTTCATGATGCAAATCAGAGAAGGAGAGAGAAAGCTACGGTAATCCCCTAACTGTAGCTAACAAATTACCTGCCTAACAGCAGCTTATGACAGCTAACTCGATATAGCGTAGCTAACAAATTGGCTTTGCAACTGTAGCTCATGATTTAACTTTTTAACTGTAGCTCATGAAAGCTAATTGACCCTTCACTAAGCCCCGCCCCCCACTGCGTCCGTTCAACTGTTAGGGCAATGTTACCATGGAGCCCACGCTGTCAATAACTGTACTGCATGAAGAAATGTTATCTCATTTTCATTAATCAGTTGTGATGATGGAAAATGACTGTAACCTCAGTACATTTCCCAGGGATTTCAATTACAAAAAAAATCAGAATAACAAATTATGTGTTTGAATCATTTTTAATTTAGGACTAAGCAATTGTTAACAATGTTGACTCTATTAGTGCCCACCTATACATATATTTTTTCAATCAAATTACCTGTTACAACATTGTTAGTTGTTACCAAATATGCAAACCCCCTTCAAATAATACTTATGTATGAGTTGCTATATCAATACATACAATTTCCTCTTTTTGGTTATGCAGGATAACCACGGCTTCATCTTTATCTTAAATAAGGTGCCGGAAGTATCAAAAAAGCTCAAACTGGTAGAATAGATACCCGCACACTTAAATCTATGCAGAGAACACTTTATACTCTTTTTGGTTTTTACAATTTGTACCAAATACGTACCAAAAAATAGCAAGATACTGATTTCTTAACAAAAACAAAAGATAATTCAAGGAACCTAGTGTAGGGCCGTATGAGACTGGAGCACCAGCCGTGTCCTTAGACCAAAAGACATCTCTCTGTCCTACTGTGGAGTGGCACTTTGTTTACTGCGTGTCTCGGTGTCAGACGGGTGGACGCCTGCACTTGAACTGCGTTTCTTCGTCCTCGGGGGGGGTTCAGCAGGAGTGACACAGTATATCAGGTCACATCCACTTCACCTGCCTGGTAATGGAACCCTGCGTGGATCCAAGATGGCATCAGCGTGACCACTGCTGACTTCCGATATGTCCGACTTTCAGTCAAGTGCTTAATGCAATGGTAAAGTTCCCTGCCGTGGGTTTATCCTAGATCTGTCCTGCACCAGTATGAGGGGAAACCGGTGTTGATTGTTGTACTGTAGAAACACATCGTTATAAATCACAACTTAGCCACTACAGTTACAAAACAAATCAAGCTTCTTCCTGGCTGTAATAGGAAACGTAACTTTACAATCTGCCCATTTACTTTCCTCCATTAGACGTGCCATCAATAAACGTTGTTTTATCTGTTGTGAAATGATACGCTGCTTTAATTTTAATAGAAAGGTCAGGATCAGGTGCCAATTCAGCTTGGAATATGGTCAAAATACCACAATACTTTACTTTGAAGAACAAATGCCCCTTTAGAACTTTATTGTGGAATAAAATAATATGGTAGTTAGAATTTGTTACCTGCTGAACAGTGGAGATTTTAAAAAGCAAAAGTCAAGAGACATTAAATAAAGTTGTTTTTTTTATATTTTGCCCTGTTAATCTCTCTCCTAAAACCTGCTCACTATAAGATAACGTTTGATAAAGCGCAGACGTATCAAAATGTTGATAGTCACACTTTATATTATTATAATTTTGAGCTGTGGAAATTTCTTAAAGCCACGAAAAAAGCCATTTTATTTATGTAGCCCAACACAACACAGTGTCAAAGGGCTTTACCTGTAACACCGACAACAAATGACAGAACAAAAATCTCATTTTAAGACTTATTGACAGTTTCAAACCGGACATACACACTCACCAGGGTTGGGAACTTCACTCAAGTACAGTATATAAGGACACATTTGAGGTACGTGTACATTTTTACGAGTATTTCCATTTACTTATACTTGTACTCCACTAGATTTCAGTATTTAAAAAATGTAATCAGTTACTTCAGATTCAGATTATTATTCAAAATATACTCAACAAATAATGTATTCTTATGGATTAAGATGTATTGATCCCTGAGAACATTTACAAGCTACCCAGTCAAATGAAGTATGTGAAGTAGTTCAAATTAGCTCCACATTTATATTAATGCATTGATTATTATAAACCAATTCATATTCTGAAATTGGCCATTCCGCATTACTTTTACTTTTTGCACTTTCAGTATATTTTGATGTTTTTACTCCAGTGAAATTTAGAATGCATGACACTCTCACACACTTTGTAAGGTCAGAAAGGAGCAAGGTAAGTCAGAATGACAACATTAAGTGAGTAAAGTTCATTATTTATTAGCGAGCCAGTTTTGTCTTAAAGACTAGCAAAGGGTAAGCAAGATAATTCTGCCTCCTCTTTCAGTATTTTACTTTTCTGCATTCACCGTAACGTTATGTGAATAACTGCATCATTGCAACTAAACCAGGAAGCTATAGATAAATGGCATGATGAGAACGTTCAGCACTACACCAGCTTCAGACTTTAGGTTAGGACATTTCCCTGCCTCTATATACAGTCTGTGTTCCCTGCTATTCATCGGCCATGTGTGTGTGTGTGTGTGTGGTGTGTGTGTGTGCGCGTGTGCGTTAGTAAGCTGCAGTGTTTCATTTTTGGTGAAGCTGTCCTTAGTTCTGCCCGGTGACCTGAGCTTTACTTCCAGGTCAGTAACTTCTGCGGGTCCCCACAATGTATCCTTTACAGGAGAGCGAAGAGCTGGCGCTTAAAGCAAGTCCCTCTGGAGACTCTTCAAAACACAGTTACCATGGACACAAACTTGACCGGGAAAGGAGTGTGTGTGTGAGAGGGGAGGGTGTGTGTGTGTGTGTGTGTGTATGTGTGTATGTGTGTGCGCGTGTGCGTGCAAGTGCAGTTTGCATGTTTGTAAAAACATGACAAATGATGCTGACGTTTGGTGCATAATTTCTTCTATTAAAATAACTACAGAGTCCAGGCTTTCTTTTTCTGCTGTTTTTTTTTTTACTGTCATACTATCATGTTTCTCCGGTGCTTTACCGCCCGCAGCCGTGCGTGATTGACTGCCAGCAATCTGATCCAGTGAAAGACATTGACAACCAATAGGAAGCGGAGTGCGGCTTGTTTCCATGGGAGGCCCCGGGAGGCGATGCCAAGCCGCTAGAAAGCAACACAGTGAGCGGCGCGGAGAGAAGCGCAGGCAGCAGCGGGACTGTGAGGATCGTTCAGCCGCTCCGTGGCACTCCGCGCGCGGATGAAAAGCGAGGTCTCTGGGTAAGTTGCATGGTAGTTGTTGTTTTTTCCACACACTTCCTTTGCTTCATAAGTTTATTCTATCGTGTAAAACATTTCGGCGCGCCCTGCAGCCCAGCTCGTCGCCTCGTTTACGCACGAAATTTGCAGCTTGTCAACTTAACTTTACAGCATCGCCGGAGGTGTTGTCGGTCATTTCCCGTCTTAAAATCGCCGGCAAGAGGTGCCTGAACTGAACTGTGCCTTAAGAATGAGACGTTCATTCATGTCCTCTTTCTTTCTGCTTTCCATCCATCTCGGTTCTTTTGAAGGGGGACCGGACTGGAGACTCTGGGGACTCTGCAGATCGCTCGTCAATTAAAAGCCACAGCGGCGCAGAATGGATAGATTTCACGACCAGCAAGTGCCTTACTGTAACTCCAAAGTGAGTTGACCAAAAAAAAACAAGAAACTTGGGAACAAATGCAGACCTCTCACATCATCTTTAATATCTTTTCTTGTTCCAAACGTCTGTTCTTCTCTCTAATACTTTTCTATTGGTTCTGATCTCATCTCTGTCTTTCTTCCTGCTGCTGCCAAGACTCATTTCTCCCTCAGGGACCATTTAAGTTTCATCTAATAATCAAAGATCAACCGCTAAACAAGGTGCCCACTACTATACACACCGCGTTATTGGTCATGCACCGTGTTACAACTTGCTAATTATATCTGACGAGGTCTCTTTGCATGGCTTTGGAAGTGTGTGTGTGTGTGTGTGTGTGTGTGTGAGGCATCAAATGAGTGGCTCATTGAGGCTCTATCAGTTCCACGTGCACTGCAGCCAACAACAGAATCACTGCTCCAATGATGGAAAAGAATAAATTGATTTGTGTCTCCTATTTTGTTGTTGTTTTGTTGCAGAAGCCACTAGGAAATACAACGAGCTGCGAGAGGCCAGCAAATGACAGAAAGAGAAAATTCATTAAGTCCGACCTGGCTCTGGACACCGAAGGTAGGCAGAGGGAGAAGTTAATTTCACGGCTCCTAAACATTTAGCAAAATTCAATTGGTTTGTGGCCACCTGCGCTGCTAACTACAGAATCTCAATTACAACACAGCGGCCTGTGATGATTCTCACAAGCCTCTGTCAGTGGTCAGAGACACAAATTGACTTGTTATTAGCTGCACACGTGCCCACTGAGCTCCAAAAGGGCTCTGACGGCAGATCAGTCCGCGGTAATGAAGTCGGTCGTTTCTGATGCTCCTCCAGGGCTTTGATTGTTTTTTTTGGTTTTTTTTTAATGCCTTCAAGCCTTGTTCTCTGCTTCTTCCCTCCAGAGCTCTTCCAGGACCTCAGTCAGCTGCAGGAGACTTGGCTGGCAGAAGGTGAGTATTTTAAATCTCGAGCAAAAAAAAATAAGGAGGAGAGATGGGTTGTGGGGAGGGAAGGGGGGGGGGGAGCTGCCTGGAGTTACAAGCCTAGCGTCGCAGTCCAATTAAAAGCCTGTGTGGAAGAGGCACCTTGTGTGTCATGCATACATTAGAGACTGTGAGCGAGGGGTCTTGAGGGAGACAGAGGAGGCTCTACCCAGAGAGTGTCATCACAAATTACCAGGAGAAGGCTCTCCGACGCTCACTGTCTCTTCTGCTTTTGGCAGGAGCTAACGCGCTGCACGCCAGCCGCCGCCTCCACCACCTCCACCTCCACCAGAGCTCTGCTGGAGCCTACCAGCTCTCTCTCTCTTTCACTGTCTCATCTGCTCTCCCTCCC